TCTATTCGTGGATACCTTGAAGACAATGAAGTGCTCTATCTCTTCTACTACGAGCTTCAAAATCTTTTCTTTGATTTCACGAGGAAGAAGTTCGAATGGGGATCGACCATCTCCTTGGTTTTCATTAGCAGAAGCATTGTTTGATATCTGGCTCATCTTAACACAATCTGATTTGAGCAAGATTAAATAATGAGTATGAATAGGATTATCGGTTTGAAAGATTTCGCAATCGCACCGTCCATACCTCTGAGCCATACGATTGGTCTAGAAAATGTATTTGAAACTATATTTGTTTACTTCTTTCTCTCTTGAACTAGAGCGAACATAGGTTTTACAGGAAGTGACGATAAGCATAAATTTGGATAGATGCTCTTCTCCTTGAAAGAAAACGAAACACAAGTAAGATAGTTGGAAACACGGTTGTTGAGATTACAACTGAGAGTTTGCTACTTCCATATGTCAAGAAATCTAAGAAGTGTCTATCGATACAATGAATACAATCACAAATTAGTCTTAGGCATCCATGAACACATCCTACCCAAGTATCCATCGGGCTTGTAAATAAAAAAATGTATGAATTCTTCCAGCGTCACCGTCTTCTTGCTGTAGTAAAAACGACCAGTACGAGTTGTAGACCGAATCAGAACCCTCACCGAGACACTCTGTTGTACTGAGACTGAGATCAAGAAAGGAATGACTTACCTCAGAAGTTTGGTTGGCCAATTCTTTTAGAGCCGGTACCATATGATCATTTAATACAGCACATACTGCTTCAATGTCTAAAAACCTTATTCTGAACGGTTTATCTCTGAAACCAAAAATTGGAAAGAGGATTGGATGAGAGAGTTACTTGAAGTATCTTGGAACATCTTCCCATTTGATTTCAATGTGTTTTTTGAAGAGTTGACCCGGTTCGTATTTGGGAAAACCATTAGCGATGATATACATGTTAACGTGGTTCTCAATATCGTGTTTTCGAAACATAAACTCAAAACGGTACTTGGGGAAGTGGCGACGAGCATAGTTGCTGCTCAAGATGGAATTAAACTCCTTGTTGACGAGTTTCAATCTCCAGAACTTCTGAAACAATCACCTTACATCTTCAATATTCTGTTTGTGAGAACCTGAAAGTCATCGAAGTCCGCTGTCTCATCTATTACTCTTTCGAGAATCATTTCTTTGATTTCATGAGGGAGAAGCTCAAATGGGAATCGGCCATCTTCTTGATCTCCATGGGTGCTAGATTTCACAGCCTTCATATCTCGTCAGCTTCACCTGAGGGAAAAGGAAGTGAAGTGGTTCGAACAACCGACTTAAAACAAGGAAATACGGGATACTCTGAATGCGAACAGCTCTCCTGAAATTTCAGCTTTTCCAGTTTGGCGATAATGATTCATTATGATACAGTATCGATCGTGCTGATAAGGACTGAATAATTTTGACTGTGAGAGATGACAAAAAAATATAGTGTTTCCGAAAAACTTAAGTAAGCGATGATAAGCATAGTCACTACTGAAGATGGAGTTAAACTGCTTGTGAACGAGTTTCAAGCTTCCAAACTTCTGAAACAATCACCTTTCATCTTCAATATTCTATTTGTGAGAACCTTAAAGGCATTAAAGTTCTTCATTTTACTCGCGCCTGTCACCGTCATCTTCTTGCTCTCCAAAGCCGCATCGGATTCGGATCGGAGTTTCGTGTTTATGATTCACCATGACACGTTATCGATCGTGCTGATAAATATTCTGTAACAATCACCTTTCATCTTCAAGATTCTGTTTGTGAGAACTTTGAAATCAAAGAAGTTCGCTGTGTCTGTTCATCAAGAAAGAGACGACATACCTCGGAAGCCTGATCTACCAACTCTTCGATAGCCTCAAAAGAACTCCGCCTAAAAGAATGATTGTAATCGATAAGAGCAATACTTGATAATCAATCGCTAAAACTCTTT